CCTGAGTTCCTTGCTCGTGCTCTCTCTCCTTCTGCTCCTGATTTGGACCTTAGGGTTGTAGTCTGGTGCTCCAATGTAGGACTCTGTCTCTGTCTTCTTTCATTGCCTGATGAAGGTTAATATCCAGGAGGATGACTATATGTTTTTCTTTAGGGTCACCTTCTTATTTAGCTTCTCTAGGATCACAAATTATAGGCTCAATGTCCTTTATTTATGGCTAGAAACCAAATATGAGTGAGTACATCCCATGTTCCTCTTTTTGGGTCTGGCTTACCTCACTCAGGATAGTGTTTTCTATTTCTGTCCATTTGCAAGCAAAATTCAAGAAGTCATTGTTTTTTACTTCTGAGTAGTACTCTAATATGTATATATTCCATACTTTCTTCATCTATTCTTCCATTGAAGGGCATCTAAGTTATTTCCCGGTTCTAGCTATTACAAACAATGCTGCTATGAACATAATTGAGCATATACTTTGTTGTATGATAGGGCATCTCTTGGGTATATTCCCAAGAGTGATATTGCTGGGTCCAGGGGTAAGTTGATCCCGAATTTCCTGAGAAAGCGCCACACTGCTTTCCAAAGTGGTTGTACAAGTTTGCATTAGTGGGAAGCACTCTAAAACACATGGGCATAGGAGACCACTTCCTACATATAACCCCAGCAGCACAGACATTAAGGGCATCATTGAATAAATGGGACCTCTTGAGACTGAGAAGCTTCTGTAAAGCAAAGGACACTGTCACTAAAACAAAAAGGCAACCCACTGACTGGGAGAAGATCTTCACCAACCCAAAACTGACAAAGGTCTGATCTCCAAAATATATAAAGAAGTCAAGAAACTAGACTGTAAAAGGCTAAACAACCCAATTATAAAATGGGGCACTGAGCTGAACAGAGATCTCTCAACAGAAGAAGTTCAAATGGCCAAAAGACACTTAAGGTCATGCTCAACTTCCTTAGCAATCAGGGAAATGCAAATCAAGACAACTTTCACCTGTCAGAATGGCTAAAATAAAAAAAAAAAAAAACAATGATAGTCTTAGCTGGAGAGTTTGTGGAGAAAGGGGTACACTCATCCATTGCTAGTGGGAATGTAGTTGTGAATTCCATAGTAGCATCTCACACCTTCACAACCACCATATCTGTTAGCATATCTGTTGCTAGAATCGCATGAGATGTCTTGAGTACACCCTGAACACTGAGACTTCTCGAGTACACCCTCAATACTGAGACATCTTGAGTACACCTTGAAACTGAGACATCTTGAGTGCACCCTGAACACTGATGTGTGTTAAGTACACCCTGAAAACTGAGCTGTCTTGTTTATACCCTGAACATGAGATGTCTTAGGTATACCATGAAGACTGATTACAAAAATGTCTATACAATCCTTCCTAAACATCTTTACCTTCATAAAAGTATGCTGAAACCTAGTAAAAGAGTTTACTGGAATTGAGCTCAGGTGTTGACAGTTGCTTTGTTTCCTTCTCCCTAGCACCTGTCCTGTCTGTAGAATCGTCTCTGAAACAAGCAGTGTGGATTGGAATCCATGTTTTAAAAATCACTGTGTTATGTATGCCTAAATATCTAGGTACCATGTACATGTCTGTGGCATTCAGAGGGCCAGAAGATGGTTGAATCTATGGAACTGTGGTTACAGACAGTTGTAAGCAATCATGTGTATCCAGAGAACTGAACTCTGTCTTTTGGAAGAGAAAAAGTGTTCTAAAACATGACCAATCTCTCTGGCCATGGAATCCCTATTTACAACTTACTTTAAAACAAATTTAAGAAAGTACAGAATGTCTTAAGATTAATTTTTATTTTAGTTGATGTGTTTATATGTATGAGCATATGTCCTTATGCTTGTGCATGTGGGTAACCCTCTAGGCTAGAAAAGGGTGTTAGATTCCCTGGCGCTAGAGCTATTAGTGGTTGTGAGCTGCCAGACATGGGTGCTGGAAATCAAACTAGTTCTCTGGATGACTAACAAGTGTTCTTAACTGATGACCTTTCTATCTAGCCCAAGAATTTATTAATGTGTTTATTAGACACCAAACAGTATATCTCTGGTCTCATATAAATTTTTAATAGTGGTAACTTGAGAAAAATATTAAGAATTTATTAAAGGGAGAAGTGCGCTTCAGAATGGCATGTAGGAATGTTTCTGTCATGAGCAAATTTTGATTACATGGAGTCAAACGTTCTTTGAATTACAGAGTTCTAATTTAGTGAAGTATTATGAATAGAATACATTCTGTGACCCTTACTAGTGTTAAAATAGAATCTCAATAGAAGAGACAATAGTTTTATTTATGGAGGTTCCAATCTAAATCAGCTTTAAAATTTAGATCCCGGGACTGTGGGTGGCAGATTCATTGACATTTTATTAGGAATATCAGAAGCCATGACTTTCTATGTGGATGGGCTGCTTTGGAAATACATCAAAGATCAAAAGACATCTTTTCATCATCTACTGATGAGAATACAAAATCAAATATAAGAGACTTTTGTTTGAGCATGCTTCCAAGTCTTACACTTTATGTGAATTATTCTAGTTTCTCTGGATAATTAGGTAAAATAATCATAGAGAGCTATACAGATGAAACAATACAATCTCAGGTGAATTTAGTTCAAGGTAGAGATTTTTAAATATCTTTAAATATTCTCTCAAATTATGAGGACAAAATTATATATCTACAAACACAAAAGTAACATAAACTATTCATATTAATCAGTTAACTTTGAGGTTATCTGAGAAATAAGGTAACAAGTTATTTCTCACCTTATAAAATTACTATTTGTATTTAACACCTATTTGTTCTCAAGAATAATTAAAGAGTTATTTATGGAACAACAATGAAAAACTAAGTGGAAAAGAATACTTCCATCTTAATCTTATTGATAGTCTCTTCAGCCTGAAACACAAAATAATAAAATATGAAATTTATTTAAAAAATAGAATAGCTAAATTTTTATCTTTATATCTTCCCTCCTTGAATTTCATAAAGTCTATATTACCATTACAATATTTTCCATATTACTATACATTTGATCATTATGGATATTGCAAATGGATTGTGTTTAATAGAGAAATTTGAAAAATTTGCCATAAACTGTAGTAGTACATCCTCATTCTATCTGAATATTGTTTCTATATAGTTTAACACAGAATATTCTATCAGTGAGTATAAGAAATGCTGGTTATACAGTGAGAATTTAATAAGCTTATTAATCATACTTTCAACTTTAAGTCTAGGAAAGAATAAATGAGCAAATAAAAGTAAAAGAAAGTAAAGATATACTGCACGAACTGGCTTTGTGGGAGCCTAGGCAGTTTGGATGCTCACCTAACTAGGCTTGGATGGAGGTGGGTGGACCTTGGACTTCCCACAGGGCAGGGAAACTTGATTGCTCTTTGGGAGGGAGGGGGACTTGATTGGGGGAGGGGGAGGGAAATGGGAGGCGGTGGCGGGGAAGAATTAGAAATCTTTAATAAATAAATAAAAAAAGAAAATAGAGAGCAAAGTAAAATTTAAGCATAGAACAACAAAAAAGATAAAGGCAGAAGGGAGGAAGAACACATGGGTGAAGAAAAGAAGGAGGACGATAAGGAAAGCGAGAAAGTGGATGAGGAGGAGAGAAGTTTCCCCATTCATGTCCTTCATACTTGGGCAGATAAATACAGGGAAATAGTCCTGAAAAAGTTCACAGGATGTCCACATACCACGAGAAATGGTAGCATTCTGCAAAGGCTTGAAATCTCAATGATTATGAATGCAGGTAATGGAAGGAGAATAAGAAACTTTAAGTAAGCATAATTTGCAAAAAAAAAAAAATTCAGGCATTGAAACTAGGCAAATCAATGTGTAAAGTGTAGTAGAACAAGATGGCATATATGTTCAGTTTCATCACTGAGGATGAAATGGTAGAGGAGAGATAACACATTCTAAGGCAGCCTTACAATATTCCAAAATCATGCAGGGTGATGCTGGCACACACCTTTAATCACAGCACTCGGGAGTCAAAGGCAGGAGAATCTCTGACTTTGAGGCCAACCTGGTCTACAAGAACTAGTTCCACGACAGGCTCCAAAGCTACAGCGAAACCCTGTCTCAAAAAAATAAAATAAATACATAAATAAATAAATAAATAAAATTCCAAAATCTTCTCTTTAAAAATACAGACAAACCAACAAAAACGCAATCAAAGTGCTCAATTGAAAGAGTGTGAATCCCTCCCTGTTCCTTCATTTTTATTATTATGAATGTTTCCTCCCTTCATTGAACAAGTGGAGCTCTTCCAGTTAAGATACTTTTCAACAACCTCCCTGTGAATACCCAATACCCGCCCCCAGTCTCCAGCTGCCCTTGTTAGTATGTTGCTTTTACCTATTTTGAATCTTTCGCAATTCAATTTGATATACAAGGTGTAGCTGTAATCCACAGTAAAATTGTGTTCTGTTTTCCCCACACTGAATTACCATAAGGAAATTTGACAGGATGGCAATAGAGGTTGATAATATGGAACATTCTAGTGAATGTGCTCATTCATATAAAAACAGATCCAGTATCCAGATGACTAACATCAGCTCATTCTCCAGTTTTAAGGAAGAAGCATTCACTAGCAGAACCAAGAGTATACCACCAAGTACAAGAAGATAACCCATATTGGAGGAATGGGAAGGGCTGTTATAGCTATGATGGGGGCAGGAATTAATATAAAATAGTCATAGCATTTTGTAGATAGGAGTAGCTCTTTGACCTTTGTTACAACACTCATAAATATACTCTGCTGAAAACTATTCAAACGCAACTACAATTACAGAGATTACTGTTCCACATTTTTAAACGAGGAAACACATAGATGCATTAAGGATGAGACTGTTGGTTACCACACCTGTTGCTGAGAGTATATAAACCCAGCTCTCCACAGGTTGACATTTAAACTCAGAATCCTCTCAGTTTCATCCAGCTGATCTTACATCTTCTCTCAATATGTCCTACAGCTGCTGCTCTGGAAAATTCTCCTCCCGCTCCTTTAGACGCTGCCTGCCCTCTTCAGGTTCCTCCTGTGGCTCTTCCTACCCCAGCAACCTGGTCTACACCACTACCAGTTGCTCTCCCAGACCCTGCCAGGTGGAATCCACTGTGAACACCAGGTGTCAGGAGACCTGCATTGAGCCCACCAGCTGCCAGAGGTCCTGTGTGGTGTCCAGGCCCTGCCAGACAGCCTGCTACTACCCGAGGAGCTCCATACCTTGCAGTCCCTACCTGGGAACATATTCTGGGTCTCTGGGCTTTGGATCCAGCAGCTGCCGTTCCCTGGGCTATGGATCTAGAAGCTACTACCCAGTGGGCTGTGGATCCAGTGACTTCAGATCTCTTAATTGTGGTGCCTCTTACTTCCCTTCCCCGTGTTATGGGTCTAGATTCTACTACCCATCATATTTGGTTTCTACAACATTCCAACCTTCTTGTTATAGATCAATCTATGGAATTGCCTTCTAAGAATCTGACTTCTAAGTCTTCATATTCCTATAATATCAAAATAAAATTCTCTATGTCCTGTAGATGATATGTTATTCTTATCTTCTACTGTTTGTCTTTCTACTAACAATCATTCAAATTCAACCTCTGTGAGAATCTTAATGTGTAATCCCTATTATACCTTAAATTTTGTGCTATTGTTATTCTGCTATTTCCTGCTCATTCAAATGTATATGATAACTGAAATTTTAATCCAATAAATTTATGCAATCTGAGGCCTTAATTTATTGTTCTTACTATTATTATATTGTTATTATTTTTGTATTTATGGATATATGGGACATCATTAAAGATCAAAATTTATGCCTATTATGTTGACAATAATTAATTTGGTTGGGGAATACTCCTTATTTATATTAATTAGTAATTGGAAGATTGTAATTTGAATGCAAATAAGAAACATAAATGTGAGCATTGCCTATGATTGAGGTATATGACTAAAATGTTATCCATCAAGAGTATATTATTATTATATATTTCACAGGTTTTTGTATATTTTCAGAGAAAAAACTATTTAAGTATATTATGTATAAATTTTCAGCCAAGAGAATAGAATAGTCAACTTTCAAAGAATCTCAAGACAGATACTTCTTTTTACCTGAAATAATGCTATCTCTTCTACCCAGAGTTTAGGCACTATTTCTGCCTATGTTCTCAAAATATTTGAAAGGAGAATGACAATGGTCTTAAGTGGTAATAGCTGGGTCTAAGAATCAGAGCATCTTCCTCATGCTTCTCCAACTCAGCTACAGCCAACCTAGAAACATTGCTGAACAGTTATAGTAATTTGTTTTTGTCTGATTGTCAACCTCAAAGATTTGAGTGTAGTTTGCTGGCAATAAGAGCCAGGAAAAGAAAGTAATAGTGTATTGTTCACTAGTGTGTCAGTTTGATCCTGAAGGTAGTACTGGTCTCCTGGAAGAGACCATAGATGACCATGGACAGGAGCACACAGACTGCAACTTTAGGGCTCTCTCAGTTGTTACCCCAAAAAAAGTGCCAGGGCTGGGCCAGGGCAGGGATTCTCTAACAATAGAGTCCATGGGCAGGAGAGCAGGGTTAACGTACTTAGACTTCAGGAGTTCCACAGCAGGACTTGGAGAGAGGAGAAGTGAGAATCAGATCATAGCTACCTCAGCAAAGAGCATTCATCATATCTGGAAAGCCTTGGAAGAAGGCAGCAAAGTAGAGTCTGCCTATGGACTTCACCAAACTGGGCTCAAGTTTTGCTTGTAAATTTGGTACAATTTATTTCATGAAATTATATTTATCTGTATATTGTTTTTGTTTTTTAATCCCAATCCTTCCACTTTGCCAATTAAGACTCAGGAGCCAGATGTTATGGTGAAAACCTGCTTGTTCAGAGAGGTAAATAAATTACCCTATGGTTACTTCCCAGTTGATTGCTCTGCCTCTTAACCTATAGAATGTTGTTTTTATTTAATATTGTTTACAATAAGCAGAAAGCTCTTGGTTTAAAGGCGTTTGCACTGGCAAAGCCACACCAGAACTAGAAACAGGTTTTTCTAATAAATAACACAACTTCAGGGCCCAGAGTGTGATCAGACATCCTGAAACATTTCACCCTTTTGTCTAAATGAAAAGGAAAGATTTGAACTCTAACACTGTAGCTGAAGCGGCGGGCCGCTTTCTGCAGCACGGCTCCCACATGCCTGGCTGGCTTATGCCCCAAAATAATAACACGGAAACTGTATTCTTTTAAATACTGCCTGGCCCATTATCTGTAGCCCCTTATTGGCTAATTCTCACATCTTGCTTTAACCCATATTTAGTAAACTGTGTAGCACCACGAGGTGGCTTACAAGGAAAGATCTTAACCTGTGTCTGTCTTGGGTGGGAGAATCATTGTGACTGCCTGACTCAGCTTCTTTCTCCCAGCATTCTGTTCTGTTTACTCCGCCTACCTAATTTTTTGTCTTATTAAAGGGCCAAGGCAGTTTCTTTATTAACCAATGAAAGTAACACATAGACAGATGACCCTTCTCCATCATAACACAGTAAAACTATTTACAATAATGAAGCTATTCCTGCCAAGATTTCCACAATGTCTAACTTAGTTGTATTTGGCATTTTGAGGATTAAGTATTTCTGAGTTCAATGTACTGTAAAGTGTTCATATAATTCTCATAGGAACTCAAACATCTGACTATCCTGAGCAGTTTGTAGGCAAAAGATGAACTTATGGCTGGTGTTTGTTAGCTTAGTGGCAATGCTGGCTAGGTAGAACATAGCATTCAGCATCACGTGGTCCTCCAGCAGGAAGGGGCAGGCACTCATAGTGTCATGGGTGCCAGTGCTAATCTGGGGCTCTGAGCTGGGATTTCAGGGCAATCAGCTGGAGGTTGGTGGGTGATATCATTTGGCCAGTCTACTCTTTTTCTTTGGATTTGTTCCTTGATGATGTTTCACTTGTTCAGTGAAACATCTCTAATTTTTCTGGATTTCTTATCTTTATATGGAAAGATAAAAGCAAAATCCTGCTCCAACCCTAACTCTGGTGAGTTCCTTTTTTTTAAAAAAAAATATTGCTTTATAAATAATACCACTCAAAATTTCCACTTCCTCCCTTTCTCACATTTCCCTCCTGCTCCCCAACTCACCCTACTCCTTCTCCTCCAGTCCTAAGAGAAGGTAGTGTACCCTGTCCTGTGGGAAGTCCAAGGCCCTGTCCCCTCAATCCATGCCAAGGAAGGTGTGCATCCAAACAGACTAGGATTGCAAAAAGCCAGTGCATTCAGTAAAAACAAATTCCAGTGCCATTATCATTGGCTTCTCAGTCAGTCCCACTGTCGGCCACATTCATAGTGTCTGATTTGATCCCATGCTCATTCAGTCCCAGTTCAGTTGGCTTTGGTGTGCTCTTATTAGATCAGGCACACTGTCTCAGTGGGTGGACCAACCCCCTCGTCATCCTGACTTCTTCTCCATATGCATGATGTCTCTCCTGTTCAAATCTAATATTCTTCAATCTTGATGGTATCCACAGCTTTTCTTCTCCTGTAGAAACAAAGGCAAAACCTCTTCCCCAGCATAACACATATCTTGGTTCCCATTCTAAGGTCAATATCTCTTTAAAATATACAAGATGATTTAATTCAGCAATTTTTTCTACTATGCAATGTCTCTCTATAGCTGTTTTTACTTTCTCATTAGCATGTAAATATTTTAAGTTAATAAAACACTGTATAATCTATCACTGTGTTTTTTCTGTTTATTAAGTATATCTTACACTTCAATTAATTCTTTCTATAACTGCTTGTCATGTATAACAGTGTGGTATGTCTGTAATATGGTTTATATTGTAATATGTGAAAAACTACTTTATTTTACTGGAGACATATGCTGGAATATTGTCAGTCTTAATTTGTGCATGTATCTCCATGATGGCCATAACTTCAAATAAATGTGTAATTGCAGAATCACAATTTTCAGACCTTAGTGAAGTTGCCTATTGAAATCTTCAATATGCATGTATGGTATGCTGCACTTTTATTTCCAAACTCTGCAAACAAATTGTCTTGCCCGCCCATGATTGATCTGCATTCATTAGGCTAATGCTAGCTTATTCCACACCTTCTGCATACTCCAAAAGCCTCAGGCCTTCTGTCTGGATTATTACTGGAAAAAGCATTGTCTCTAGAAGTGCCTTGCCTACAATCCCTTTCCAAATGACCTTGCTTATTGTAATTTATTCATCTGACATTTTGATATTTTTGTTAAAACTTTTAGAAATTATTTTTCCTTGCAGAGTAGCATCATAAATATGAGAATGGCTGTCAGCTATAATTCAAATCCATTCACCTATTGGGGCTGGTCTTGCCTTTAAAGGCCTAATCACCCTTTTGCATTCTGAATTAGAATTTTCAAAAGCCAAAGATTTAAATAATTAATATTTGTCTGACTTCTAGATATGATACAGTTCTATTCAAAGAGGAATCTGTCTTTGCAAAATATTACTGAAGGCTTTTTTGGCCTTGTAATATTCTAGTAAATGACTCAGACCTCTTTCCTAATTCTTCAACCTTGTCCCAAATGTTTAAAGGGGCTAATCTACACAGTGCTAAGGTGTGGTCAGCAAATGAATGTTGCCTTTGTACCTCAGCATATTGACTTAAACCTAGAAACTTGTCCTGGAGGAAACTAACACCTCTAACCCTATTTTGTCATTCTGTGGTCCTAGCTTCCTCCTTCACAATGTTCACTGTTTTAAATGAAGACTAGCTCCCAATATTGCTCTTGTCAATTCTTTTACGAGTTGGGGAAAAATTCTGTTCTGAGTTGTTCATGAATTTGACATCTGTTTAGCATAGGGTGGATGAATACTATATAAAATGACCACTTCCTTAAACCTCCTAAAATCTAATATTTCTAAGGGACTCCATTCAATTTCCGTTTAAGCTCAGGGTTATTTATAATCTGCTGATAGTTTCTGTATTATAATTGGATAAACTAAGGTTTCTCTTCTAACCTTAAGCCACCCCTCTTCAGTTTCTTTTTAAAAAGGTAGATTCTTATCTAATTTCATCTGTCTGTGTCTAAGAATTTTTCTTATTTTCATTTATAATTCTTTCTTAGGCTTGAATCTTATCAATCCATCTTTTACTTTTTGAACAAAAAAACACTATGGCTATTAGAAATGAAGTATAAATTACCAGATTTGTAGTAATTATAATTGATATTCTTTTGATCACTGTTTTGTCATTTACCTCAGTTATGTCATGGTTGGTTTTTTTTTCATTTTCTGCTATTTTTACACCATCTAAAGTAGCATTATGCAGTGTCCTAACATACTTTATAATATTTCCTATGCTCAACATTGGAAAGTTTTCCTTTTAATTTTACTTAACTTTTTCCTTGAGAACTTCTAGGTGTCTTACCAAATCCAGTGGCTTCTCAGTTTGTCAGTGTGATTCATCTGGCCATGTGATAATATCATGCAT